GCTAGAGAGTGGAAGTCCAGCTCCCTAGCTTGGCTCCTCTCCCACAGCCTGACCCCAGCCCCATCTCACCATGCCCCCTTCCCTCAGTTCCCTAAACACACCAGCCTGTTGACACCTCATATGTCCGTGCAGTCCCTGGGGCAGCACTAAGCTCCCTCTTATTCACCTGGTGGATGCCCAAGCTGCCCTGGAGATCAGCTTAAGGGTGAGACAACTCCTGTCCCCCTTGCCCTCACCCACGTGTCACCCCCACGCTGTTGGTTCCTCCCTCATTTAGTACTATGTAATCATATTAGTACATAAAAATATAAAATACCATAACCCTTTGCAGCCATCTCATCTCCATGGTCCATCCAGCAGCTCCACGGGGAAAGACTCTGAGGTTTTTCTACAGCCAGAAAGAACACCCAATGAGGCCAACCCCTGGCATCGGCTTGTAGTACCTTTGTTTTCATAATGCGAATTTTTCTCCTGCCTTAACATGAGAAATAGCTGACAGTCATATAGTGGTCACCTCTCCCTCTTTGCATTGGCTCCTAGGAAACTCAGATCTAAATCTGCAGCCTCTTGCTACAGAGAGTAATTTGGCCTTGACTGTACCCCTAGCTTCATCTTATTCCCTGGCTCCACCCCATATGGCGGCTCTCCTCTTTGATGTCATCAAGGAGTGGTGGCAATAATGACCATGATGTTTGGAGGCAGATGATGGAGCTGGACAGGGAAGGTATGAAATGCCAAGAGTCTAACCAGAGGGCAGATCAGCTCTGAATCCCAGTTAAGAGCTGGTTTTGATTGAATTTTTAACCATCCCCATCCCCTTCCAACCTGGGAATCCAAACCTGAGCTCAGAGGCCAAGATGGAAGAGACCTTCGTTTATACAAGACTAGACGGGAAGGAGTCTTGTGCACTGGAGAACTAACAACTCCTTAGTTGAAATTATTGCTAGACATATTGGAGGATTTGGGGAAGAATAAGTTCCTAGGATAAATAACTCCCTTGCAATGGGGACTTTTCACAATTTAGGACTTCTCACACTTTAGGACTTCTTACTCTTTTTTTTTTTTTTTTTTTAAGATTTTATTTTTTCCCTTTTTCTCCCCAAAGCCCCCCGGTACATAGTTGTATATTCTTTGTTGTGGGTCCTTCTAGTTGTGGCATGTGGGACGCTGCCTCAGCGTGGTCTGATGAGCAGTGCCATGTCCTCGCCCAGGATTCGAACCAACGAAACACTGGGCCGCCTGCAGCAGAGCGCGCGAACTTAACCACTCGGCCACGGGGCCAGCCCCTAGGACTTCTTACTCTTTTGCCCCTCTCTGCATTGAGTGACCACCCCATCTTAGTTGGGGCTTCACTGACCATTAGCCATTGCTACAACCCATGAAATCATTTCCTACATTGATGATGCTGGTAATGACAGAATCAACTGCAGTGGTAAGTATGGTGTTGCGATAGTGTAATAATGATGGAGGTGGGAATACTGATGGTAAAAGTGATGGGAATTGGGGTAATTGGAGGGATGAGGGGTATGGGGCTAGGGATTGAGGTAATAGTGATGTGGTTATGACAGCAGTGGTAGTGATGAGGATTATGTGGTAGATGATACTGATGGTGGTAGTAATGGTGAGGATGGTGATAGAGATGGTGATGATGGTGGCGGTGATGACAGTGATAAGGGTGGTGATGGTGGTAGTGGGAGTGGTCACAGTGGTAGTGGTGATAATGGTGATGATGATAATAGTCATAATGGTGGTGGTGGTAGTCATGACGAAGATGTCTAAGTTCCCTGAGAGCAGGAATCTTGTCTCTCTTGTTAATCATTATGTCATCAGAGCCTAGTTTGGGAGGAGGCTATCTGTGATTTGAGTGATGATGGTGCTGGTAATGGTGGGTATCAGTGTGGAGGTGGTTAAATAGATTATGGAACACTCATGCCATGGACTAAGTCGCCATTAAAAAGAACGTGAGGGGCCAGCCTCATGGCCAAGTGGTTAAGTTCGCGCACTCTGCTTCAGTGGCCCAGAGTGTCGCCGGTTTGGATCCTCGGCACAGACATGACACCGCTCATCAAGCCATGCTGAGGTGGCATCCCACATGCCACAACTAGAAGGACCCACAGCTAAGAATATACAGCTTTGTACCGGGGGACTTTGGGGAGAAAAAGGAAAAATAAAAAATCTTAAAAAAAAAAAAAGAACGTGAGGATGCTCATACATTACTGGTGGGAATGTAAAACGGTGTAGCCACTGTGGAAAAGTTTGGTAATTCCTCAAAATGTTAAACATAGAGTTACCACATGACCCAGCAATTCCACTTCTAGGTATATACCCAAGAGAAATCAAAGCATATGTCCACACAAACACTTGTAAAGATGTTCATAACAGCATTATTCATAATAGCCAAAAAGCAGCAACAACCCAAAGTCCATCAACTGATGAATAGATAAACAAAATCTGGCCTTTGCACATAGTGGATTACTATTCAGCCATAAAAAGGAATGAAATACTGATAAATATTACAAAATGGATGAACCTGGAAAACATGCTAAGTGAAAGAAGGCAGTCACAAAGAGCCACAGATCATATGATTCCAATCACAGGAAATGTCCAAAATAGGCAAATCTGTCTAGAAACAGAAAGTAGATTAGTGATTGCCTGGGGCGGGAGGGGGTGGGTAAGTGGGAGCGACTGCTCATGGGTATGGAGTTTCTTTTTGGGGTGATGAGAAGGTACTAAAATTGATCATGGTGATGGTTGCACAACTCTATGAATATAATAAAAACGAGGAAGGTCTGTGTTTTAAGACACATTTGTTGGGCATAAAAATCACGTTTCAGAATAGTAGATAATGATAAGCTCCTCTGTTTATAAGAAATATATATATAGAGAGAGAGAGTGCTATTATTATAAACATAAAGAAGAAGGCCGGGGCCGGCCCCATGGCTGAGCGCTTAAGTTCTCAGCTCCGCCTCGGCGGCCCAGGGTTTCGCCGGTTCGGATCCTGGGCGCCAACATGGCACCGCTCATCAGGCCATGCTGAAGTGGCGTCCCACATGCCACAACTAGAAGAACCCACAACTAAAATATACAACTATGTACTGGCGGGATTTGGGGAGAAAAGGCAGGAAAAAAAAAAAGAAGAAGAAGAAGAAGGCCAGAAATGGTACACACCAAGCCGTTCCCAGGGGTCACCTCTAGATGGTCAGATTTGTGCATGGGCGGCTTTCATCTTTTACTTTTACAAATGCTTTTAGCATTTGCCTTTTTGTTACAAATATGACTTGCCTTTGACATTTTCAAACAAGGAGGAGGGTGAAAGCATGTGGGGGCCCCACTGAAGCCTGGTGAATCAGGCGCTAGAGCCCCCTGGCATCCTCGTCAGAGGAAAGCGGGTCCCAGGGAGGCCATGGTGGGGAACAGGAGAACACAGGTTCCAGGATGTCAGAGCTGCGTCCCACGGGTCTTCTCGGAAGGAGAGCAGGACTTTGGAACCTCGACCCTTTTCCCTCTGATTCCAGGCAGGGCCAGGAGCCTGCCCGGGGACAGAAATTGTTTATATTGCCTAGGTGAAAGATTCCCACCTAGTGAACCCAGAGTCCAAAATGCAAAAGACAGGCAAGTTCACTACAGCAAGGTCTCCCGTCCCCCGGCTCTCCTCCCCAGAGCCACCGGAGACCTCGAACGCATCTAAACAGGCCCGCATGCCACACACGGCTCTTGTACTTAGTCTTAGTCTTGGAGACCCATCCACAAGTGTATATGAAGGGCCACCTTCTTCACCGCAGAGCCTCACAGTTCTCTATGGGGGGATCCCCATCACATCACATGCTCTGCTAATCAACCCCAACTAATGGACATTGAGATTGCTTCTGAACCTTTGCTTTTCCAGGTCCAGTCTCTTAGCCAAACCACTGGGATCAGACTTCTTTTAGGATTCAGATTTTACACATGTGTGCATGTACATCTAAAGGCAATTCAGTGTATGTTCCAGATATTATGAAACACCCTAATAGGATCTAAGGCAGCACCCCATAATCAAACACATTAACATTTCCACTGCAGGGGCTGGCCTGGTGGTGCAACGGTTAAGTGTGCACGTTCCGATTCTTGGTGGCCCGGAGTTCACCGGTTCGGATCCCGGGTGCGCACATGGCACTGTTTGGCAAGCCATGCTGTGGTAGGCATCCCACATATAAAGTAGAGGAAGATGGGCACGGATGTGAGCTCAGGGCCAGTCTTCCTCAGCAAAAACAGGAGGATTGGCAGCAGTTAGCTCAGGGCTAATCTTCCTCAAAAAAAAAAAAAATTTCCACTGCAAACATGTATGGTAAGTGGAATTAATAAAGACTATAAATGATCTTGTCAGATTTTGATACCAAATGAGTTTGTGCCAATCTAATGGAAAAACTCCGTTTTCAGAATTTTTGGGGTTTCAGAATTGTAGATGAGGCTGTGCAAAGAATGCTGCAATAAATAACTTTGAACACATATAATTTTGCAAGTTTACACAAATATCCATAGGATACATTTCAAGAACTGGAGACGCTGGGTCACAGGCGATGCTCATTTATGATTTTCATAGATTTTGCTAGAATAATGACCATCGTTCTTCCTCGCCTGTGAGTTGCTGTACTTTATGGTTTTCTAAACACTCTCACTTTTGTCAGTTAACCTCGAGGCAATGAAAATTCTTCCATCTCCCTCTCTGCACAAAGCTAGACTTGGAGTCTCTGGCCCCAGGGAGAGGCAGCCGGGGGGAGGTGAGAGCACACGAGCTTTGCTCTCAGAGACGGCAGGCAGCCCCTTCCACCGACATCACCCTGAACAAGTTACCTGTACCTGTCCTGAGCTTCTGTTTCCTGCCTGTAGAGACAATCTGCCTCCATGACAGTCCCTCCTCACTTGCCCACCAGCCTGCACTCTTCTCTCCTGCCCGCCCCCAGCCCCCGGGCCTAGGTTTTGCCCTTTCCTGCAAAGGAAGAAGAGTCCAGGCCAACAGAAAGAAAGGTCCACAGGCTTTTTAATGGTGTGATGGCTACTTCCCTTCTGAGACCCAATCTAATCATGACAGCGGCTTCCAGGTGTTGGGGTGGGGGTGGACAGGTACAGGAGGGCAGAGGCCATGCAGTGACTAGGAAGGGATGGGGGAAGGTGTTACATTCTGTTTGGCATGTAAACATTCTTCAGTGGCTTCCCAGGGGAGGGGAAGAGCAACTCCCTGCCCCCTACTCCATGCCCACCAGGGCTGGTCCCCGGAGCTGAGAAGACTGAGCAAGCCAGGCCCCTGTGAGGAGCTGGGAAGGGGGGAGCTCACGTGCCTGGGGCACGGCCCCTCTCCTGCATCCTCTTCGTGCACAGTGCGGCTGGGGAGGGCAGGTGTGTTCTGGGGTGAGCAGACCCGCATCTGAGCCAGTGACACAGGCTGTCTTGATGGGGAAGTGCTGGAGGGGTATGATGGTGATGGTGGTGGTGTGATGCTGTTTTATAGAGAAGGGGCTCAGACCTGGAGGGCTTGGTGAAAGGGATGGGCGCTCAAGGGAGAAGAGGCTGCAGCTGGAGGGGGGGGGCACTGAGAGGTGTGGATTCCTCTGCCCTGGATCTTTCCTCGGAGGAGGAGCAGAGTCCGTCCCCTAGCCCCCTCCCACACTTGCCCCTTCTCCCTCTCCCCCCCAACCTCGATGACATTCAATAACGCAGAGGCCTGAGGTCAGTTGGGAGCCCTAGGGAGGCCTGGAATCCCAAGGGCAGACAGGGTTTTGCGTCTCTGCCCAGCTCCAGTGCTGGGTGAAGCTGCGGGGTGGGATGGGCCTGCGGCTCTCTCAGGCCGCCCCCTTTTTCCTCCCAACACCAAACCAGGGTGTTGTTGGTCCTGCGGCAGGGGTGAGGCTGGGGGCCCTACATTCACAGTTCGGTTGGCGGCAAGGAGCAGGCCCAGGATCTGGGCACCAGGGGTCATGCCCTGGTCCCCATCTGGCACAAGCTGATTGTCATTCGGAGAAGCTCTAGGTGGGAGAGAGTGGCCCCTCCTCCACCCCCTCTGCTGGACCCAGAGGGCAGTAGAGGCCTTGGGAGGGTCTCGGGTTGACAAAGAGGGCTCTGTCCAGAGAGGTTTCCTGAGTGTTCTGGGAGCTTCTGTGTCAGCGTGGGATAGACCTTGAAGGCTGTCCACCCTGGAGTCCTCCCCTGGGCTGGTCTGCAGAGAAGCCACCACCTTGGCACGGAAGCAGCTTCCCCAGCCTGCTGACTCTCCATGAGAGGCTTCAGCTGGCACCACCAGGCTGCTCCCCTGGCCAACTTCCTTGTGGGCATCCTTCTAAGCGATGGTGTTTGGATGCTGCCAGACCACTGGGGCATGCTGGGGCCTTTCTTCCTCTTCCCATGGCCATCTTGCTTTGCTCTCTGTGACCCAAGGAAGAACAGAGGGGCCAGGCCAAGGGACAGAGGCTGTGGGTGCTGAGGATGGAGAGGCCTGCAGGGGACCTGTCCTGGATAGGCAGGGTTGGCTGGATAGGACCTGTCCTGGATAGGGTTGGCTGTCACTTCTGCAGCCAGGGTACTGCTTAACCCAGACGAAGGCAGTTGAGGCTCATGATGAGGTGGGATGAGCTATGCAGGAGCAAGACCCAGGAAGAGGCCCCACATCCATTCATGGAGCAGCACAGCCCTCACCCTCTGCAGGGACAGCTCAGCTGCATGGACTGGGGTTGGGATAAGAGGGGACAGGCTGAAGGGTGAGCTGGGAGGGGAGGGGACTTGGGCTGGACCCATCACACAAGCATACAATCTGGAAGTTAGAAGAGCCTTTCCGCCTTGAGATCAGGGGCCAGCTGTCTGTCTGCCTGCCTGTTTCTGCTCTCTCTGCCCACTGAGGGAGATAATGGTCTGATCCAGCCCACTCCCGACAGCCAGGAGGAAAGGGAGGGTGACCCAGCCAGCTCTGAGTCCCTGAATCTCCAAAGGGGCAGCACAGAAGATGATAACCAGCCATTCTCCACCTCCACTGAACTCAGGAGAAAGGGAAGTTGGCTGAAACTGCAGTGGGCAGGATTGAGGTTAGATGGCAAGAAGGAATTCCTGATGGTGAGGGGTCCTGAGCACTAGATCAGGGGGCCAAGAGAGTGGGCGAAACCTTTTTTAAAACTCCCCTCCTACTTCCCACTGGGAAACATCTGCCCAGGCTGGAAGCCCACACACTCTATGGTTCCCCCTGAGGCCCCACCCAAATTTAGGGGGAGGGAGTCTTTGCACCTTAGAGGTGCAGAGAAGCACCCCCCAGGCCCACCCCACCATCACCTGCCCCCTGCTTCCCACAAGGGGTGTCCAGGAAGAAGCTGACTTTGGGGCAGGTCAGACCTGCCCCCTCACACCTGAGTAGACCAATGGCCCCTAGGTCCCGCTTCCCCAAGCCCAGTCTGGCAGCTGAGAAGAGGCCTTTTAGACCACGCAGCTCCCAGGAGACTGTGGGGTTGGCCCCTAGGGGGAGGTTGGAGCCTTCACTTCTGGAATTTGAGGCTGCCTCTCTGAAAAGGGGGGGCTTTGGCTGGATGAGGGCCGGGAAGAGGGAAGGGCGCCGCAGGAGGTGTAAGCAGAGGTCCCTGGGGGAGCATGGGGAGCAGCAGAGGCCTGGTGGGGGAGCAGGGCGACCCCATTAGTAGAGTCCTCGGGGAAAAGTGGCTGAGCCTTCCCGGGGCAGAGGGCGCGTCTGTCCCACCTGAGGGGCGGCAGGGGGAGGAGAGGAGATGAGGGAGGGAGCTGGGGGAAGATGGGGGATGGGCGTTCCCCCGCCGGGGCATCCCCCAGCGGCCGGGGGCGTGTGCTGGCGCGCGTCCTCGCGGGTGCAGGCGGGAAGCTGGGGCCGCGGGTGGCGCGCGTCGGGCGCGTAAGGCTGTGCTGGGAGCTGTTCCAGTGTGGCCGGCTGCGAGTAGGGGGCCAGGGTGAGGGTGGGGGGCCGCCGAGCGCTGCGCGCGTCATTATCTGGCCCCGGCCCTGCCCTCCGCGGCCCCCGCCCGGCCTTTGGTTGCTGAGCGCTGAGTCTGGAGTTTCCCTCTGGGTCCTTTCTTGGGGCCCCCCGGGGAGGGGGTGCCGTCAGGCTGGGCCCGGGCCTGCGGGGCGCCCCGAGGTGGGGGGCCCCCGGGCCGGGCCTGGTGCGAGGGGGAGGAGCTCTCCCTGCGGGACAGGGACTGGCTCCGGGGCGACGCGCTGGGATGGCGCGGGGCGGAGGCGGGGAGGCCCGGACTGCGCGGGGCGGAGGGCCTGAGGCCAGCTGGGGCACGCCCTGGACCCACGCCGCGGCCGGGGGGCTGTTTGGGGCGGAGGTCAGTAGCGACGGACGACCCTGGGGGCTTCTGCAGCTGGAGCCTGCGGGAAGAGTGGAGGGCAGAAGGCAAGAGAAAAGCAGAGGCAAAGAAACAAAAAGAAAAGACATTTTCAGAATCTCCCTGGGCACTGAGCCCTAGAGTCCTGCATCCTCAGAGCTGGATGAGACTGAGGAGACAGGGCTCAGATGGGTAAACTGAGGCCTCGTGCTCCCTCCTCCAGGGAGGGACTTCTAGGGGCCACACGCTCCCAAGCTGTTACTGGAAGAGCTTGCTGCAGGCTTTCTCTGCCGTCTCTGTTTCATCCTTAAATTTCTCATGGATTTTACATTTTACTCAACAGTATACCCATATATTTTATATTATACCCATGTATTTTGTATTATGGGTATATTATATATATTATATATTGGTTATACTAATATGAATACTGTTTCCTCCCAACTATTCTGGGCTTTATCCTTTGGCTTCAAATGCCCCATGGCACACCAGAGGCTGTGTGTGGACCCCACCGGCCCCCAGCAACCTTCCCCAAGCCTGGCCTCGCTGGCATTCCTCCAGACATGCTCACTGTAGCCACTCCCTCGAACCCAGTGCCAGGGCTGGGACCTGAGTCAGAAGAAAGACTTAGTTGGGGAGTGGGTGGACAGGAGGTGTCCCTGCAGGTCCTCCCTGAGTCTTCAGTAGCCCCTGACCTTCACTCTGGGGAAGCCTCTGCTGGTGGAGGCCTTCTGTGGTCGCCCACTGCCCACCCTGGGGCTGGCAGTGGCTTCTCACCTGCTGGTGATGGCTGAGTCAGATGCTGGGGCTGCGCCGTGGGGTCTGCCGGGGGGCTGCTGGGCTGTGGCAGGCGTGGGCATGCGGATGCTGATGGGGCGGGGAATCCGGCTGCGGGTGGCAGCAGCCTGCCCGACCTTCCTGGGTGCTGTGGGCTCGGAAGCGGGTGTGTCCTCCTCGGAGCCCGTGCCCGAGAGCGTCTCCGAGGCGCGGCGCTGCTCCTCACTGGAGGAGGACGAGGCCCCAGAGGCCAGCCGCAGCAGCAGGCGGCCCTGCCTCTTCTCCATCACCAGCCGTGCCAGGTCCTGCTGTGGTCGGGCCCTCTTGCCCCACCGCTCTTTGGCCGACAGTGAGCCAGAGGGCTCTGAGCCCGTGTCCTCCTCAGACAACAGGACAGGGATACGGCTCCGGGGGCGAGGGCCTGGCATGGCAAGGCGGCTTGGGGAGACGGTGGCCAGTTTCTCCGGGCCTGGTTCCAGCGGGGATGCTGGGGCTGGCCCTTCAGCAAGGGTTGGGCCATTGGGCAGTGAGTCTGTGGCCACCTCCACGGAGGTGTCCCTGGGGGGTCCAGACAGGGCACCACTCTCCAGCCCTGACTGAGCGATGTCATTCTCCAGGGGCACAAAAACCCCCTCCTCCACAGCCCCCCCATCAGACGGTACCTCTAGGCCCAGCTCACCCCCAGCACTGAGCTCCTCAGGCCGAGAGGCCTGTCCACCGGAAGACATGACGTTGAGGTGGGTTTTCTCCGCAATGTGCACAAAGGTCCTCTCAACTTTGGTGAAGGGTGAGGAGGTGACTGCCACTCCCCCTGCCCCTGTGGTCACTGCCCCGGCCCCCGGCCCTATTCCAGGCCCAGGGGGCTTGGGCTCAGATTTGAGGACGGAGGACAGGGTGCCAGGCTCAGACACGTCCAGCTGGCTACCAGTGGGCTGGGGCCGCTCATGCTGAGGAGTGAAGGCAGCCAGAGTGCCCAGGTCGGGGTCGGGGGCCAGGTCGGCAGTGACAGGCGACTTCTTCATGTCGCCAGGGGAGACGAGCACCAGCGTTTTGGAGCCCTCCTCAGGCTCAAGGTCCCCGTCGGCCATGGAGGCCCGGCCCCTGGACTCCTTCTGATCGTCGGCTAGCAGTGTGGACGGGGCACCCTCTTGGCTCCGATCAGTGCTCCTCTCGCTCCCATCACTGCTGGAGCCACTGTGTGGCCCCAGCACCTCCCCCAGGGCCACTACCTCCTCCTCCTCCTCCTCCTCTTCCTCCTCCTCCTCCTCTTCCTCCTCCTCTTCTTCCTCCTCCTCCTCTTCTTCCTCTTCCTCTTCCTCCTCCTCCTCCTCTTCCTCCTCCTCTTCCTCCTCCTCCTCTTCCTCCTTCCCATTAGCTTGAGGCTGAACAGGAGTCAGTGGGACCTGGGGCGCGGTGAGCAGCACGTGCGAGAAGCCCACCCTCCGGACCCTGTTGAGCAGCCGAGCCCGTTCGCGGTAATCAGAGAGGTCTTTCTTGAAGTCCTGGTAGGGCAGGCTCAGAGGCACAGCTCGTGGGAGACCGTTCACCTCAAACGGGGGCGCCACAGAGAACACCTGCAAGGGGCACACACAGGGACCCACTGAGGTCACCACTGAGGCCCCCCTGGGCCTGAGAAGACCTGGACTGCACCCACAGGCCAGGAGGCCTACATGCCCCAATGTGTCCACCAGAGTGTGGGCTCCATGAGCGTGAGGACTGGCTCTGTTTTGTCTATCGCTCTATCGTCAGGGCCTGGAATGGTCCCTGGCACCTAGTAAGTGCTCAGTAAAGCTCTGGCGAATGAGTGTGTCCATGCTCCAGGTCTCCCAAGGTCCAAGGCCCTGATCCTGGTGGCTTTTCTGTCGCCCAATCTCCTATTCCCCAACGCCCCTCCTCACCAGGTGCATCCCAAAACCCAGAGCCAACTCTACTTCAATCAAAAGAAGAAAATGGCAACTATAAGGCGTCATAGCCATCATGGAGATCAACCCTCCCTTTTACAGATGAGGAAACCAGGTCCAGAGAGGAGCAGCAAGTGTCGGCCAGCCTCCTCACAGGGCACAGTTTCTCTGCAGCCAGGGAGCTGGCCGCCCAGGGCCACCAGAACCTGTGTGGGACAAGGGCCAAGTCTGGGCTGTGCTCCATTCCCTGAAGTGCGGGCTGGGCCCCTTCCCTCCTGCCCCTTTCTGACCTGTCAGCCCAGAATTTCCCAGCCCTCTGCAGGTCTGTTTTGAGTCCACACTTCCTCCAGCAATTCACAGTCAGCCTATGAAGGGCAGCTTCTTTTCGCTTGATTAAGTTTTCCCCTTGGAAGCTTTGTGCAGAGTCCTTGGCATGTAATGGCCTGTTCTTGGTTTTCTAGACTCCTGCCACATCTCCCCTTAGCCTCCTTCCTTCCAGACTAGAAAAGCCTGACCACCTTATCAGGACCTCAGCTGCCGCATCTTCTCCAGCTCCACCCTCGTCAATCCACACACATCCCTCCCAAGCACCCACAATGCACCGGGCCCCATCAGGGCTGGCACGGCTTTGTTCCAGGTGGGATGGCGCCCATGGTGTCCAGCACTTTGTTAGTCTTTTTGAACACACTGGGCCTCTGTCTTCCTAAACACAGCCCATCCAGACCAGAAGCCCGGAGATATCCTGACACCTCCAGCACCTTCAGGTGCCATCCAGACGCAGGGGGTCCCACCAAGTGTTCCTCTTAAACATCTGCCCCAGCCCGATGGGCACAGCCTTGTCTTGCTTGGTGGTTCCTTAGCCACCAGCCTGTTTCCTCCATCCCACACTGCCCATCCATCCTTCCTACAGCTGCCCGAGTAGTCTTGAAATTTAAATCTGATCCCCCCTCTCTCTGCTTCAAACCTGTAGAAACCTACAGTGGCCCCCACAGTCCTTAGGAGAGAGTCCAGTCCGTGGCTTGGCACATGAGCAACCCTGTCCCGTCCTTCCCCTCCCCGCCCCCCGCCATGATCCGGCTCCTACCTTCTGCTCCACTCTCATTTCTAGCAGCACCCTCTGATCCCCCGTTGGGTGCTCCAGCCATTCTGATGCCACCAGCAGGCCCCTGAATACATTGGACATCGCACATTTCTGGGTCTTCCCCTAGGCAGTGTCCTCTGCCCTGGGGGCCCCTCTCACCCCTTCTGTTCACTTGACAAATTCCCATTCTTCCTCCAGGACGTGGTTCAAACAACTCTTCTTCCAAAAAAGCCATCTTGTCCACCTGCCAGCAGACTTCATCACTCTCCTTTCTACTTGTTCTCCCACGTCCTTCCATTAGAGAACCTTCCACCCTCTATTCCCCATGCATGTGTTTACAGAGTTCTCTCTCCCAATATACATTGAGCCCCTCGAGGGGTTTTCATTCATTCATTCAAGAAGTCCTTGAATGTCTATTGTCCTGGCCACCATGTTAGAGGCTGCAAGTCTGTGGATCAGTGTTGAACGAGATAGACATGATCCTTATTTTCATGGAGTATGCAATCTCTATATTAGGAAATGAAGTGGGGATAATGCATAAGCCACAGTGTTGTGATCATAAATGAGGACATCTAAGCAATGGGTCTGCCCTATAGAAGCTGCTTGATAAATGTTAACTCCCTCCCACCCCCACCTGCTACCCCTTGCCCTGTACGCTCTGGTTTGGAGATCATTGCCTCCCTCCTCAACTCCAGAAATGCCCCAGTTGCCACACCTGTAGGGGAGGAGGGGAGGGGCAAGAGGGGCTTGGCCAGTTGAGGCCTCTGTGCAAACAGTTGGCCCAAAGGCTGGTAGAAGGGGAAGGCAGGAATCCCCAACGCCAAGGATCTGCACGAGGCTGTGACTTCTCTCCCCAGCTGCCATAATCTTCCTCCGAATCACACCATTGGTGAGGACTTGATAGGGGTTGGGGGAGCAATGCAAGACAGGGCAGCATGCAAGCGCAGACAGGACCTCAGCACACGCTGTGTGAGCCAGGCAGGGAACTTCCTTAAAGCCATGTCCCCTTCACATCCAGGCTCACAGACCCCAGCAACTGTTTTCTTTTTCTACGCCATTCTAATTCTTCATTTATTCATTCATTGATTTAGCAAACATTAAGTGCTGGTTCTGTGCCTGGCCTTGTGCTGGGCCCCTTTGCCATGTTTAGTTACCAATGTTAAGGCTGGAAAAGATGACTGGGCAGAGGTCGGGGGGGGGGGTGCTGTGAGCTCCTAGGTAAGTGGGGACCATGGGGTAGGTGCTGGGACTGACAGCCAGGGACAGGCAGACAGACACAGAGCTCTGATCATGTCTCCCTCTGTCCACCTCAGAACTCACCACCCAGCACCAGACACATCCTCTGGGCAAGGATATCCTTCAACCCCACCAGGCTATCCTTTCTCAGCAGAACCTCTGCCAATTTTCCCTGTCCCATCTCTGACACTTGGCGCATCCCTGGCAGAACCACGTTTTCCTCTGGCCCGGCCCTGGATCTCTCTGGAAAAGCGCCATTCATAGGATGGCCCCTCCACTCACAGTGCCCGTGTTACATGATTGTAGCTGGAGCATTCTCTCCTTCCATCTCAAAGCCCTGCCCTTCTATTACATGGGAGGGAGGAGGAGTGAGAACTGAAAATCAGGCATCAGTGATAATATCAGACTGGGAAACCGAGGCCTGGAGAGAGGCATCAACATGCAAGTCACAAAGCACATCAACCAGGGTGGCCCAGAGCCCAGAACTTTCCATTGCCTCACTGGCCTCACACCCTCCGATGTGGGGAAATCTGGGACCCTCTGCCCTTTAGCAGGAAGCGCTGTGAACTTCAGAGTGGGGACAGCTTTGCCCTGAGGATCACTGCCAAGGCCACCTCAGCCTGGGCGTGCCGGCCTCTGTGTTTCAAAGGCCCTCCACTTCTCCCTATCTGGCTCCATGTTGGGGAGGGCCAGGCCTGGGCTTGAGTTCCTCCCTCCTCAGAGAGAAGAAAGACCTCCCTCACCTTCTCCTGGCCTCTCCTGGATGCCTGAGCCCAAAGGGTATTCCACCATTCACCCATGCAGTCCTGGGCTCATTCATTCAGCCAGCGGTCACTAGACAGCCTCTGTGTACTTGGCTGTAGAGGCCTGAGGACATCATGGGAGGGGGACTGCAGTGACATCCCCCATTCCAGCTCAGAGGGAAGCAAGAGTGCTGGGTGTTGGCAAGAGGAAGTCGGGGTCTGGGGAAGCTCACACCTTCCTGCTCCCTTCCCAGGGCAGACACCTTTTATGATTCCAATTTGCTTACTGTGGTTCTCCAGCCTGGCTCGGACACCATTCTCTGGGGGAACTTTCTAAAATTACAGAGCCCTGAGTCCTACCCCCAGATTCTGTAGATCAGAAATGAGGCTCAGAAATCGGTCTGTTTTAAAGCTCCCTGCTGATTCTGATGGAGTTTGGCAAAAGGGAGATGTGGTCAGGGGGAGTCGTAGGGGGAGGGGAGGCAGGCTATTGGTGCTGAGACACTGCGAGGCAATGAAAGCCCCAGCCCTCGCCCTGACTCACTGAGCCCAGAGCAGAGGGCTGCGGCCTTGCCAGCTTCAGAGCCCAGCCCAAGTCCATGTTTCCTTCAATCAGAAGGACAAGTGAAGGGAGGTGGATGGATCAGACTCGGTTCTTCCCCTGCCACCAACAAAACTAGGCTCTCCTCAGCCTAGACTTCTCTGACACCCACACAGGGAAAGGCTACTCCGCACGCCAGCATTCCCACACAGGGTGCACAGAGCACCATCCTCCCTGGACCCTGCCAAGCCCGGACACCATGCACTGCACATCAGCCCACAGTCCCAAGGTTGAAGAAGGGGGGCTGCTGAGTGACAAAAGCAGCAGGGTGAGCCCTGACACCCCATGCCTCCCCTGCTGGGCGAGGGGGATGGGGAGGGCTTCGTGCCTCTCACAGCAGCACCCCCACCCCGACCCAGCAGCGGTCCAGTGCACACCTCCCATCTCCCCTCCCCCCTCCCCCCCCCCCCGCCATAAATGCCCAGCCTGAGAATTGGAGATGAGAAGGAGCTCGCAGTGCAGCCTCCTCCACCCACCACTGCCTTTCCAGATTCTTCACCTGTCCGTCTGCGTCTCCACTCTCAAACCACATCTGCCAAGCCAACAGCCCTCCCTCTGCTCCTCCACCCCACACGCAGGAGTGCCACCCTCCCCAGGTGCACTGGCCCCTGGCAGTCCTGGGTGGAAGGGGTAAGATGACCTGGGAAGGTGGCTGCCAATCCTCCATCTATGTAGATCCTCACACACTTGACCCCCAGATCTCAGTGTCCCCAACCCATCCCTGCCTGCCCAAGGGCAGGGAGCTGACAGCATGTGGGCCTTCTAAAGGCTCTAGGGGTCAAGAAACACAGCTGGGGGGCCGGCCCGGTGGCGCAGCGGTTAAGTTCGCACGTTCCGCTTCTCGGCGGCCCGGGGTTCGCTGGTTCGGATCCCGGGTGCGGACATGGCACTGCTTGGCAGCCATGCTGTGGTAGGCGTCCCACGTATAAACTAGAGGAAGATGGGCACGGATGTTAGCTCAGAGCCAGGCTTCCTCAGCAAAAAGAGGAGGACTGGCAGTAGTTAGCTGAGG